CAATACAATACAATACAATACAATACAATACAATACAATACAATACAGTACAATACAATGTTCAGTAGTTTCTAAATCCTTCAGGCTGTCAGTTTGAAACCAAAGTGGTAGTGAACCTGTTAGCTTAAAAAATCAAAAATTCCCAGCCAGCTGTGGAAGGGACATCAGAAAGCATCTATTCCAATTCCTACAACAATCTCAAAAAATTGTTTGCTAGTCTCCTTTTGAAGGTCTCCTAGGACAAGGAACCACAACAGAAAGTCACTTTTTCTTCTGAAACTGCCCATTCCACTTGGGGAGAACTCAAGGGGCAGCAAGTTATTTTCTCTTCTTTAATTTGCTCTGGAATCTTCATCTCTGCTACTTCCACTCACTGTTCCTAGTTCTGTCCTCTAGGACCAGGCAGAGAATAAGTTTGATCCATCTTCCCCAAGGTAACCCTTTGAGTGCTGAAGACTTCTTTCATATTCATTTCTATCTCCCCTCCTGCTCCCATCTTTTGCTCTTTGGGTTCAGTTCAGTTGTTTTCCAGTCATGTCTGACTCTTTGTGGCCCCCACTGAGGTTTTCTTGACAAAGATACTGAAGTGGTTTGCCATTTTCAGCTCATTTTGCAGATAAGGAAACTGAGGCAAACAGGGTTAAGTAACTTGCCCAGGGTCACACAGCTAGGAAGTGTCTGAGGCTATATTTGAACTCAGAAAGAGAACTCTTCCTGACTCCAGTCCTGGCACTCTATCCACTGTGCCACCTAGCTGCCCTGTTCTTTGGGTTAACCACTTCTAGTTTCTTTAACTGATCTCTGTATACTATGGCTTTGAGTTCTTCCATCATCCTGGTTGTCCTTTGCCTGGAAATACGTTCCACTCTGTCAGTGTTTTTTGTTTGCTTTGGTTTGGTTTTATTTATCTTTCCATAAAATGTGGTAACAAGAATTGAAAGTAACACTCTGCCCAATTTCTGCCCTTTTGGATGGATAAGCGGGTAGGGCACTGCTGCTGCTGTGGCCCCCTCAGCAGGGGCCAGACACTAGTGACAGTTTGCCTTTAGTGGGATGTTCAATTTCTCTTCCATCTCCAAATCCTACTTGGGACAGAGCATAACCATTTATCCTCTATGCTGGACTGTAGTGGGCATCATGATGATACTTCTGGTGCCTCTCTCTTAGGATTGTTAGGAGGTTCATGTGTATTTAGAGCACTCTGTAAACTGTAAAGCACTTTATAAGTGCTAGCTATTATTATTATGAGTATTTTCTTTAATGTTCTCAACCTACAAGAAGTTTCATAGTTAGCATTTCCCCCTAGGTGTACATACACATAAACCAAGGCAGCTAGGGGAGAGAGCACTGGAACTGGAGTCAGGAAGACCTGAGTTCAAATCTAGCCTCAGACATTTACTAGCTGTGCGACTCTGGGCAAGTCATTTTACTTCTGTCTGCTTCAGTTTCCTCATCTGTAAAATGAGAGATGGGGAGAATAATGTCCCCTACCTCCCACAGTTGCCATGAGGAGGAAAGGGAATAATATTTGGAAAGCACTATGTAAATGCTAGCTAATACTACTACTATTCTTATTACTAGTTTCCATTCCTTCCCAAGTGGTAAACATCAGCTCTGTGTGGCTAAAACGGAATCTATCCTTTTATTTTAAATGTTTCCTGGAGAAAGAGTAGTTCAGTAGAGAGGTGAGACAAAGGATTCATTCCCAGGCTGTTTTCCAGGCAGCATTATCACAGAAGCAATCACAGAATCTCATAGTTGGGACATCACAGGCCATGGGAGCACATGCACACACACACAATATCTCCAACAAGTTGTCAAACAGCATCTGCTTAAAGACCTCTAGTGAAAAGGAGCTTACTACCTCGAGGTGTTCCATTCCAGATGGCTCTAATTGTTAGGAAACATGGAGGCTGAATCTGTCCCTTTGAAATATCTACCCATTGCTTCTGGTTCTGGACTCTAAGATCAAGCATGACAAATCTAATTCTGCTTCCATGCTCTAGCCTTTCAAATTCATTAACTGCTCTGACCTCTCAAAGGGCGAAAGTGGATGATGAAGTCAATACAGGAAGGGCTTGGCACCTCTCTTTTAAATCCTTTGTCTTAGTGACTGAGAGAATAGTGATTTCATCTTTCCTAAGAATGGAGCCCAATTCAAATACAACAACTGCTTTGACAATTGAGTCTTCTAATGTATATCCTGGCCTAGGCATCTGAAGTAAATCTTCTTTTTCTTAGCTCACAAATAGAGCTGACCTTACAAAGAAGGTATGTGATAATTTGAAAGGTCCCAAACATGGCCCGCTGTCACAAAATCTTTACCCATACTGTGTGTTGGAATACTTCAGATTTCACTATTACAGAATCATTCCGCTGGGTCTTATGATTTATTGATTTTCAAGAGCTAACTTTAAGATACAAATGACCTAAGGGAAGGACAGTGCCTTATCAATTAAGACTTTTTCAGAGATTATGATAGGTCATTAGAGAAACTGATGCAGAATAGGTATATACAGGGATAAGTAGGTACCAAAGATAGACTTCAACTAATTTACCATTTACTTACCCTGGTCATAGGACTTGACTTACCTTGGAAAGAGGTTCCCCAGTCACCAAGGAAACAGGGCACATCTTGTTATCCTGATGAGATGTATAAGCCTGAGTGGCCCATTGATCCAGATATCCTTTGGGAGCATAGAGGCCACAGTCTAGGATGCTGTTTATCTTCTCAAAAGGCTCACATATTCCATCTCCCTCATAGATGTAGCACAGGCTTGGCTCCCCTGTCAAGATATTAGGTGTTGGAAGCAGAAAAGGTCTGAGCACTTTCTAGGACAAATAGTTAGAAAATGGGCAACTAGTACCATAGAAAGGGTCTACCTTGGTTTGATGCCACTCATCACTTAAAAGGGATTTACAAGACTAGCTTTACAAAGGTTAGATGACAGAGGCATCTAAGTGGCGCAGTGGATAGAGTGTCAGATCTGGAATCAGGAAGACCTGAGTTCAAATCCTGTCTAGCTATGTGACTTAACCTCTGCCTCGGTTTTCTCAACTATAAAATGGGCATAAAGCCACTTATCTCCCAGGGTTGTTGAAAAGATAAAATGAGGTAATATTTGTAAAACATTTTGCAAACCTTAAAATGCCACATAAATGTTAGCTACTGTTAGAAGTCTTGGAGATGATTAACAAATTTCTGCTGAATTAAATTAATTTCAATCCATTAATTCATACGAGACACCCTACTTGCAATTTATGTAGTGATGATGCCTATTTCTAGGCATGTAAGCCAAGTAGTTAAATTTTCTTTGACTAGTTTGCTGAAACATGCAGATATGGAGCCCATGTACCTACTTAGGCATGCATTTTCTATAAATATTTGCAGATATATCCCAAATGACCCAACCACCATGAGTTTGCTGTTATAAGTTCATTATAACCAAGGCCCACCCTAATATCCTTTTACCAACTCCTAGAGTGCAGGTCAGCCTTGCCCTGTTGCCTAATTTAAGTCATTGTCTTTTTCTTGGGATCAATAGAATCAAATAGAATCAAACCAGTTGGGAGAGCCACCCAGAGTTTTCATTAAAAGCTCTATTCAGAAAAAAAAAAGGCATTAGATGGATTGCTCATCTGACTCCTTTTGGAACTCAAAGGAAAAAAAGGACAGAAAAAATAATGAGATGTTTTAAAACTCTTAGTCTAACTACTGTGAGTAAAGAGTCATTGTTCCATTGGTGATTACTTTTCCATCAGACTCCTGAAAAGCTGAGAGTCAAGGAGATGTAACTCATGAACCCCACACACTACTAATTTAATCAAGTAACAGAAATGAGTCCTGATATTTAGGCAAAATATGTAACATACAACCTCTAATCCAATGCTCAGAACAATCCTGAGAGGGAGGTGCTGTTATTAAACCAATTTTACAGAAGAGGAAATTAAGACTCAGAGAGGATAATTAATAATAACAATGATAGCTAGCATTTATATAGCACCTACTATGTGGCAGGCATTATGCTAAACACTTTACAAATATCTCATTTTATTCTCACAACTCTGGGAGGTAGAGTCTATTACTGTCCCCATTTTACATTAGAGAAAACTGAGGCAAACAGAGGTTTAAGGGACTTACCGAAGGTCACACAGCTAATAAAAGCCTGAGGCTGGATTTGAACTCAGATCTTCCTGATTCCAGACCCAGAGCTCTATCCACTTCACATTTTAGCTGCCTCTCTGAAACTCTCTGAGAGAATTAATCTCTTGCCCAAGGGTCACACAGTGAACCCAGATCTAAGTCCAAATTTAGCACACCTCACTGCCTCAAGTACCTTTCTGTCTCCTTCCATATTTAATACTAATGTTCAGTATTTTTCCACTGCTGTTTTTAAGAAGACATAGATATATTTTCCTCAGCTGAGTAAAGTGTTAAACACACACACACACACAAAACTGGCTTGTTTTCATTTTTTGTTTGTTTTTTAAAGATGAAGTATATATGTTCATTACAAAAATTTCTTTTTTCTTTTTTTCCTCTTTAATGGGGGGAGTTGTTGGGAAGGAGAACTGTGAAAAGATTATTTAAAAACAAGAAGAAAGGAGGATAAGGACTGCATTTTTATATACACAAAGAAGAAACCAGAAGAAAGTCAGAAAGAAATCAGGCAAGTAGGAAACTTAGAAAGTTATATGTTGAATTTATCCTTTTCATGAAGGAAAAAAGCAAGCTAAAAATAAGAGATTGTGCATGTAAAGTTCTCTTTCTCTATTGAACTTCGTATATAAAAATATTCATTTTATTTGTTATCTAAGTTCAGAATAAAAGAAAATAAAGACTTAAAAAAAGATGAAGTATGGCAAAGTGGATAGAGTGCTGGCCCAGAAGATCTGAGTTCAGATCCCATCTCTGACATACACTGGTTGTATGAACCTGATTTATAATTTTCGAGGTGTCAATGTTCACACTGAAAATTTAACTATCAGCAGGTAGGTGAGCTCCAGGACAGCCCTGTGCAAAGAGGCTGTAACTCCGCCTTGGAGTACAGAACCAGTCAATGCCACCTTCTATATCCACAAGATGACCAAGAAGGCAGACTGGGCACTCCCCCGGGGGCTGGGGAATTTTTCAACGTCATTTGTGCAGTGGATGGTGTGGATACCCAAGGTGAAATCTGGGTCATAACAATTCTGAGTGGTCCAAGTGGGCAGAAAGGGAAAGACTGGAAGTTTGCACAGGAGTGGAAGACAATGAAGTGGAGGAATGATGCTACATGGGAGATAGGCCTTCCAACTGTTTCTCAAGGCAGGTGGGATTTGACCCATTACCCCACCCTCAGATTGGTTGATCATCTACCTATTCAGATCAAGCAATGGCCCTTCAGGAAGCCAAAGCCCCCATTTGGCAATGACTGCCTCAACCAATGAAATCACAAGTCCACTATGAACAAACCAAAACAAATTTTTAAAAAGTGCTAAGCTCAATTCATGTTATCTGCTAAAGGAGTACAACTGCTGTCAGACCCCTTGAACTTTTCTGTGTCCTGGGGCAAAAATCTGATCACTTCACACTAGTTCCAGTTCTGTTTCACCATACTTGGTATGTTGATATAGGACAAAATGGGACTGTGTGCTGGGTTCTGTTTAACATATTAGACTTGACTGTGAACTTTACTGTTTACTGCAACAAATAACTTTGAGAAGCTACAGAATGTGCTTCCCTGGAAGGCTTTAAACAGTATTATTTAGTTCCAGTTATTCTTAGATTTGGGGCACTAACCAAATCAAATGAAAGAAGAGTAGAATGTAAAGCTATACTCAGGTTCAAAAATCAAAACTTGGCTAAATGGTAAATGTAAGATCATGTAAAAAGACCCAATGAAAATCATCACCCAGATGAACAGTGTGGCATATGGCTGCATTAGAAGTTGAGGAGAGCTTAGGCTGAATGGATGGAAGTCTAAAGCTCGGAACCAGTGACATGATGCTCCCCCTCGACTTGGATTTGGTCAGTCAGCTTCTAGAGTATTGGGTTCATTTCCAGCAGACAGGTTTAGGAGGGACGTTGACAAATAATAGTCACCAATAATTCAGATAAGATTTACAAAGCAAATTCTTCATAAGAACTGACTGGTAGGGGGCACTTGAGCATATGAAGACAAGGTCGAGGTGAGGGGACTCAAAAACATTTCATCTGAAGAATAGTTGAAAGATGTGTGTGTATGGGATGGGACAGGAGGGAGGGGCAGGACTAGTTAGCCAGAAGATAAGAAGACTTATGGCAAACATAATAGTTGTCTTCAAATACCTGAAGCACCATATAAGTATTAGTTATTACCTTTAATAATAATAATATTAATAATAATAATTTTTATTTGAAACCGGTTACATTTAATTTGTATGGCTCCAGAGGACAGAACAAGGATAAAACAGTGGGAGTAAAGGGAAGCACACATCTGTTCATTATAAGAACTTTCCCACATCTGAGCTGTTAAAAAATGACACATATTATCATTGGAAATGGTGACATAAAGTACCTTTCAGTTCTAAATCTATAATCTTATAATCTCAGCTAAGTGGCACAGTGGGTGGAGTCCTGGACCTGGAGTCAAGAAGATCCAAATGTAAATTCTACTTCAGATACTTACGAGCTGTATTTTCTTGGGCAAGTCACTTAGCCTCTGTTTGTTCACTTTCCTCATCTGTAAAATGGGGATAATTATAGAACCTACCTCCCAGGATTATCTTAGGGATAAAATAAGATGTCTGCAAAGTTTTTTTTTTTTTAACAAACCTTAAAATGCTATATAACTTCTAGTTATGATACTTATTATTGTTCTCCTCCTTTCAGAAGTCTTGCTGATTTGACATCTACATCTTCTCATGGATCTTTCCCCTCCTCTTCACTCACACCCTAGTTCAGTCCTTGATCACCTTTCATCTAAACTACTGCAATAGCACCTGATGTCTCTTTGCCTTCATTCTCCTCTCTAAATCATCTTCTACACAGCAGCTAAATTGATATTGCTAACGCATAAGTCTGATTCCCTTGATCAAAAAGCTTCCTTCAGTGGACTTCTGCTGTCCCTAGGATGAAATACAAAAATATGGTGCCAGCCTATCTTTCTAGACTTACTTATCATTATAAACTGATTTACTTACTAATTGCTGCACAGGCACTCCATCTACATGCCTTTGCATATAGACTGTCCCCCATGACTAGAATGTTCTCCCTCCTTATCTCTATAACTTAGCCTCTGCAGGTCCGGTAAAGGCTTAGTTCATAGGATTGCATTTTAGAATCATAGATTTAGATCTGGAAGGGACCTTCAAGGACATCTAATCCAACCCCCTCATTTGACAGATGAGGAAATGAGGCTCAGAGAAATTAAGGAGCTCATAAGGACACTCAGGTAATCTGAAAGTGGCAAGGCTGTGATCAAAACCCAGGTTCTCTGACTCTGAATCCAGAACTCCTTCCAATGAGCCATTCTCATTGACACCATGTGCCATCTACTCCGTGAGGCCTTTCCCCATTTATCCAGTTGTCAGTGTCTCCTGTCTCCAAATACTCGTATTCAGTTGGTATATATTTTTCATTTACTGATCTGTGTACATGTTGTTTTCCCTCAAATGTGATATAAACTCAATAATAGCAGGGCATCTTCCATTTTTGTCTTCCTATTTCCAGTGCCTAGCTCAGTTCCTGTCACACAGCAGTCACACAATAAATGCTTGTAGAAATGAATTGAACAGCCCAGATAACTACCCATAAAGAATTCTGTAGAGAGGATTCCTGCACTAAACAGAAGACTGGACTTGCCGCTGTTGTTGTTGTTGTGTCAATTTAATCATGTCCAATTCTTCGTGACCCATTTGGAATTTTCTTGGCAAAGATACTGGGGTGGTTCGCCATTTCCCTCTCCAGCTCATTTTACAGATGAGGAACTGAGGCAAACAGGGTGAAGTGACTTGCCAAAGGTCATACAGCTACTAAGTATCTGAGGCCAGATTTGAACTCGGGAAGATCAGTCTTCCTGATTCCAGGCCCAGCACTCTATCCACTGTAGCAATCTTACTAGATGACATCTATTTTCCTTCCTTAGGTTCTATATCTCTATGAGCTAAGAACCTAAGCTTTTAGAGTGAGGAGACCATATCAAGCATATGTTCTGCACAACACACAACAAATTGTGTCTAATGTCTATGAAGTAAATTAATACTAAATGAAAATTATAGTTGAGCTTTTATAGTTTTTGACTCAAATACAAAAATGCTGCCATAAGCAACATGGATGAACAGTTGTGCTCCTCACCAGTGAATGGCTAAGTAATAGTAACAAGAATGAAAAAAAAATGATTCCTTTTCACTGACAAAAGCAAAGAGATCCAAAAACGGCCCCAAGGAGAATGTTCTAGACTCACCCACACAGTTGAAGCCTTTTTCCTTCTCACATTTTCTAGAGCAGCCATCTCCATCAAGCAAATCTCCATCATCACATTCTTCTCCCAGACTCCTAAGAGAAAAAGAGTGAGAAATGGTGACTTTCCCTTTGGTCTTTGTGATAAAGCAAGTTAAAATACGTTGCATATCCTGTTATGGTAACTTTATCCAGTTCCATAACTTAAAATTATTATCTCTGTATCTTAAAATAGTTTGTAAAAATCAACAAAACTTCTATAAACTTTTAAAATCTCTGATGTATTTAAATAAGCTAAGTAAGAATCAGGAGATCATGGTTGTGGCTTGTTCACGCCACTAAGTTCTATGACTTTGAGCAAGTCACTTGAACTATTTTGGCTTCAGTTTCCTCATCTGAAAGATGAGAAATTTGGACTGGTCACAAAGTCCCCTTCCAACTTGAACATATTCATTATCTATGCTATTTGAGGAAGGAGGGACTTCAGAGGTTTGGAGATTTAGGGCTGAATGGGACCTAAGCAGTCACTTAGCCAAATCCCTTCATTTTACATAAGAGCAAGCTGAGGTTCAGGCAGGTTAAATAGTTTGTCACACAGTTCATAGAAGCATAGAATTTGAGAGTTGGAAAGTAACTCAGTGGCAATCTAGGAAGGAATCCCCGCTGCAACATACCCAACAAGAAGTCATCTAGCCTGTGTTTGAAGACCTCCAAGAAAAGGGAACCTGCCACCTCTTCAGGCAAGCCCATGGACAGCTCTAATAATTAGGAAGTCTATCTTGACATCAAAGCTAAATTTTCTTCTTTGCCACTTCCACCCAGGGCTTGTGGTAGTTCCCTCATGAGGCAGACAGGATGAGTCTAATCACTCCTCCATGTGACAGTCCTTCAAATACTTTAAGATATTATGTTCTCCCTTTGGTCTTTTCTTCCCCAGGCTAACCATCTTCAAATGAGCCTCACATGACATGGATCCAAGGACCTTCACCATCCTGGTTGTCCTTCTCTGAATGTTATCCAGTTTTTTGATGTAGTTCTAAACTATGATTTCAGAACTGAAAACAACACTCCTAAAAAGAGCAGAGTATCTATGCAAAGAATCAGAAACTAAGGAGGTGATTTTCAAGTGAGGTGGAGTTGAACAAACTATGGTATATGAATTATATTGGGTAGTATTTTGCTGTAAGGAATGATGAAAAGGACAGTTTCAGAGCAACTTGGGAAGCCTTATATGACCCAATGTAAAGTAAAGTGAGCAGAACCATTTATACAATTACAACATTGTAGACAAATGCCCACAGTCAGAAGATAGAGTGACATTCCAGAGACTACAAGGAAGTCAGTGGTATTGGATTGTCAAGTATGTGAAGAGGGGAAGATAAGGAATAAAGGAGAATGGAAAGATGAGTGGTAGAGGGAGGGAAGTTATAAAAGGCTATGAATTCCAGAGTACTTTGGTGATAGGAAGCTAATGAAGTTGATTGAGTTGGGAGGTGATGTAATAGATAATTGTGCTTTAGGAAGATGACTGTAGTAGCCCAGCAGAATATGGATTGGGGTGGGGAGAGACTTGCGGCACTTCTGACTTAAATAACCACAGTTCTGAGTTTATTTGGCCCC